ATGATTGATTATTCTGTGGGACGGGCCACAAGGGAATGGGGGCACGAACGAGATGGAAAGGAAGGCGAGGAAGGCACAGTGCCTCGGTACGCACACCACCACATCACGTCACAAGCACTGCACCAACATCACGAACACACCGCATACACACGCATGAGCCTGACTCAAAGTAGTAGGTCGGAGGATAAGCCATCCAGAGGAGCAACAAGTAGGAAAGAACACATGGAACGAGACGCATTTCCACGACACAACATGGGTGACGCCGCCCACAACAAAAACTGAACAAAGAGCAATGGGAGGGAAGGAGAGGGGAGGAGAGGGGAGGGTAGTTGGGGTTTACTCGTCCTCCAAGTCCTTCTCGATAGACTTGCGCAGGTGCTCCTTGTAGTCTTGGATGTCGCCGTCCCACTTGGTCACCGTCTGGCTCGTGTGCGCAAAGCAAAGTCAATAAGACGCGCCAATGAGTGACAGCGACACATGTCAAGAGAAGCGATTGACACACATGCAGCACAGCACACACACACACACACAGAGCACCGCGCACACAAATACATACATACACACATACACACATACACAGAGCACCCCGCACACACACACACATACGCAGAGCACAGCACACACACTCGCGCGCGCCACACCTGGTTCTCGGCGATCCAAATCTCGTCTGCAACCTGGTCAATGAGACGGAAGTCGTGACTCACAAGCACAACGCCGCCCTCAAAGCTGTTGATGGCGCGGGCGAGGGCATCAATCGTCTCCATGTCAAGATGGTTGGTGGGCTCGTCAAGAATGAGCATGTGCGGGGACGTGTACGCCAGCCAGGCGAAGATGAGCCGTGACCGCTGGCCGTCGCTCAGGTTCTTGATGGGCATCACCTGAGCACCGCGCACGACGCGTGAGTTGGCGTGAGCAGTGGCGTTGGGATTTGGCAAGCGGACAAGAACAATTCAGCAACAGCTCCATCCATGTGCAACAGCTCGCTTCATGTGGTTCACAAACAGACATACACGCACACACGAAAAAACACACAAACACACACACACACACACAAACACACACACACACAAACGCACACGCACACAAATAGGCAAGCCCATACCTGCTGCTTGCCAGTGAGACCGTATCTTCCGACGGAGCGGCGGGCGGCCTCAACCTCAAGCAGCTGCTCAGGGAACTCCTTTTGCATAAACTGGCGCATGGCAACCCACACGACACAAAGTACGAAAGTTTTGTTGTGTTTTGTTTTGTTTTGGGACGGGGGGGGGGGCAAAGTGGTGAGCCAATTCAACATGCAACATGCACAGCAACCCAACAGGCATTCAACCACGTACAAAACGGACAATCACTACCACCACGTGTCGAGCACCACCATCACCATCACCATCACAATCACCGCACCTCGATGGGGCTGAGCTCAAAGTCGAGCTGGTCGCCGAGATGCTGATGGTAGCGCGCAAACCGCAGGTGGCCATTGCGGCGAATCTGCCCGCTCGTCGGCGTCAGTTCCCCTGTTGCAAACAAGTGGCGTGGGGGGGGGATGGGATGAGCAAGGATGGAAGGTGGTGTATCTCTTGTGTGTGTGTGTGTGCGTGTGTGTGTGTGTGTGTGTGTGTGTGTGTGTGTGTGTGTGTGTGTGTGTGTGTGTGTGTGTGTGTGTGTGTGTGTGTGTGTGTGTGTGTGTGCCTGTGGGGGGGGGGGTGCATGAACGCTTCAGGACGAACCGACGAGGAGCTTGAGGAGCGTGGATTTGCCGGCGCCGTTGGGGCCGACGAGGGCGAGGCGCGAATCCAGATCAAGCCCAAACTCAAGGTTCTGCACGCGCACAACCACACAACCACACACACAAAACAGGGTGATGCGTCACGGGTGAGGGGGTGCGACAGGCAACAAGGTAACAAATGTGTGTGTGTGTGTGCGTGTGGGTGTGCGCGCGAGTGTGTGCATCGACACCACAGAAGCAACCACATAGCCAAAGACGCACCTTGTACAGGTACTTGTCAGTGCCGGGGTACTTGAAGGACACGTCCTCAACCATCAGCACAGGAGGCGGCAGCTGAGGAGCAAACACAAGGACGGCAAAATCAGACAACCGACGCACACACGGGCGTGTCATGGTGAGAGGATGCACACATTCAACGGACGCAACAGGGCTGGATCAGAAAAGAAGGCCCCATGAAAGCGCACAGAAGCACAAACAAACAAACAAACAAACAAACAAACAAACAAACACACACACACAAACAAACAAACAAACAAACAAACAAACACACGCAGTGGCATACCTTGCCGCAGTCTGGGAACTTGAAGTCGAGGGCCTTGTCCTTGACGACCTTCTCCGTGAGACCGCTGTCAAGCATCTTCTTCAGCACTTTTTCTTTGCTCTGCGCCTGGCGTGCAAGCTTGGCGCTGCGCAGCACGGAATGCAGGTGGACTCACGTGTGAGTGGTGGCCGCGTGATTAATTGTGCTCAAGCATGGAAAACAAATGCGGGTGGTTGCGGTGGCTGTCGTAGATAGTGGTGTTGGTGGCTGTAGGGAGGGGGCAAAGGCGCTTCCTCACATACAGAGACAACCTCCACACGCATAACATGTGCACTCGTGCACACACGACAAAACAACTCACTGGCCGTGACCGAAGCGGGCAATGTAGTCCTTCATGCTTGCAATCTGCTCCTGCTCTTGCTGGTAGCGCTTCATCTGGTGCTCCTCAAGCTCCGCCTTTGTCTTCACGTACGTGTCGTAGTTACCCGAGAAGTAGCGCAGGTGCTTGTTCTTCAGCTCCATGATGTTCGTGCACACGCCGTTCAGGAAATCCTACCATCCACGCGTGCAAAGGGTATGTCGGGGGGAAAAACAACCCAATGATCAGCCCAGAGCCACGCAACAAACTGGTGCATGCATACACGCGCACACGCGCACGCACACACGCACACGCAGACACGCAGACACCACACCAGAGGTGGGTCGCTGGCGTTACCTGTGAGTGGGAGATCATGACAAGGATGGCCTTGTAGCGCTTCAGCTCTTCCTCCAGCCACACACACGCCTCCAAATCCTGCCGTGGCAATGCAACGGCAGCAATGCATGCAGGCAAAGATGGATAGGATCGCAAGGGCGCAGTGCACGTGAGCAACAATCCGGAGCAAGTGCAACCGCTGCAAGAGCAGACTGAGGTGGGAATCAAACAGAGACAAAAGAGAGATGGGATGAATGTTCACGTGTCACGAGCGGGCTGTGGGAACGTACGAGATGGTTCGTTGGCTCGTCAAGAAGCAAGATGGCCGGGCGGATGAGAAGGGCACGGGCGAGGGAGATGCGCATGCGCCAGCCACCGCTAAAGTCGCGCGTCTTCTTGTTCTGCATGGCCTGGTCGAAGCCGAGACCGTGCAAAATGCGGGCAGCACGCGCCTTGGCTGTGGAGGTGAAGGGAAGACGTGAGTGCGGTGTGTTGTAGTGTGGTGATGTATGGGAGGGTGTGTGTGTGATGCATGGGAGGATGTGGGTTGGTGTACGATGGTGTAGCGTGTGCGTGTGTTCCCGGAGAAGATAAGCAACAAAAGGAGGAGTTACGTATGTGGTTATGCTTGTTCACATTACACACACGCACACGCACACATCACACGCACACATCACACACACACACACACACACACACACACCTCTGTCGGCGTCAATTTCGTCGAGGCGCTCGTAGACGTCGACCAGGCGGTCGCTGTCGCCCATCTCGTTCTCAATGAGCCACTCGGCCTCTGCCTCCAAGCGCGTGCGCTGCTCGTCGACATCCATCACAGCTTCCAACGCCGTCTTATCCGATGGCTCAATCTCGGACTTGAGGTGGAAGATGTCAAAGTGGTCCGGGAACTCAATGTCCCGGTCTGCACAACGCGGAAGACACAAGCGATACCAGAGTCGCAGGTGCACAAGCAAACCGAGCAGAAATGGTGTGAGGGAAACAACAAAACGTCGTCGCTCTCTTCACCAAGCAACAAGCACCAAGTACACCACATCACGGCACACATCCGCCGTCACCAGACACCCACCCACACACACATGCACATGCACAGAAACCAAGCACAAACATGCATGCATACACGCATCAACACACACACACACACACACACACACACACACACACACACACACACACACACACACACACACACACACACACACACACACACACCGCTGATGGCGTTGAGGAGCTGGGATTTTCCAGAGCCGTTGGGACCCAGGAGACCGTAGCGACGGCCCCAGTTGAGTTCGAGGGTGGTGTCCTCAAACAGAGTGAGGCCATGGTACGTCATACTGAAGTTGATGACCTTGATGTCGCGGCTCAGCGGGTGCGAGGCGTACGAGCCGGTCGTGTTGCGTGGGTTGAGCGTCATCTGCAGACAGCATCACGTGTGCACACCAGCGTGAGCGTGTGAGGGAGTGTGTATTTGCGTGTGTGCTTGGGTTTGATATGGCACGGTATGGAGTAGCTGGTGTGACACCACGGCAAAGCGCAGGTGTCAGCTTCGGTGAACCCGAACACGCGCAGGCTTGAGGAGCATGCACACATCTCAACAGCCGCTCCTGCACTTCAGTCATACACACAAACGCAAAAACACCGCCGTTGTCGCAACGACCGCGCGTACCTTTTCCACGCCCTTCTGCACGGTGCTGGCGGCCTGGGCTTCCGCCTGCTCTGCAGACAGACCCTTTGCCTTGAGCTTGTTGGCCTTGCGGCGTGCCTTGGCGGCAGCGCGCTTCTTTGCTTGCTCACTTGGCATGATGGATTGTTGGTGGGCGTTCAAGCAAGAGTACGAGAGTGAGTGCGCGTGCTTTTGTGTGTATGTGGCTTCTTTCCTTCCTTCGTTCGTCAGCGATTCAGGAGGGCGGTGCTTGATATGGGGTGGTGGAGGACAACGAAACAAATGGAAGGTGTGTTCTCAACGCGAGCAGGCAACGTGCGCGGGAAAAGAAGGCAAATTTGCCTTTCACACCACAAAGGCAATTTTGACGTTGCCCGTCAGCGAAGCAAAACACAAACAGCAACAACACAGCAGCGCTTCTCCTGTCTTGTTGCTTGTCAGCGTGTGTGACGACCAGTGCGTGGAGGGGAGGAGGATGCCGAAGAAGGGAAAGCGCAAGCCGTCGCTGCTAGATGGCTCGGGGAGGCCCAGGGGCGTAAAGCCAAAGACAGAGGAAGAGAGTTTACCATCTCCTGATTCTCCCAGCCAAACCCCACACATTGGCGACTCCAGCAGCTCCGGTACATGCGTGTGTGTGTGTTTGTGTTTGTGTGTGTTTGTGTGTGTGTGTGTGTTTGTGTGTGTGTGTTTGTGTGTGTGTGTGTGTGTTTGTGTGTTTCTGCGTGTGTTTCTGCGTGTGTTTGTGTGTGTGTGTGTGTTGCGTGTGTGTGTCTGTGTTGTGTCTGTGTGTGCCCATGGCTGAATGTATTGCTGTTTGTTTGCATCGTTGACACGGCAACACCATACAACACGACCACCAAGGCACACTGTTTCGATTTCTGCTCACTCTGGCTGGTTGCAACACAACACACAGACACGGAAGACATCGCCACATATGGACACGCGCCACCAGAGGGCACGCTGGAGCGCCTCAAGTATGGCTGTTTTGGGGCGCATTGAGTGCTTGTTGTCCTGTGGCAGCATGCATACATGGACAATGCCTTTGCTGTCTCTACTGACCATGACCCTCAAAATCTTCTCTTGCTGCTGCTGCGCTCTCTCTTAGCAAGCCTCCGCCACACAAACGCTCCCCCCTCCCTCCCTCCCTCCCTCACTCACTCACACGCATATACACACTCAAACATACGCGCACACGCATGCACACACGCAAACAAACACACACCACCACCACCACCTAGGCTCTTGTTTGCTGACGGCCACTTGCCGCAACAAGGGGCCAGATGTACCATGGAAGTAGAGGGACACAAGCTTCAAGCCATAGTGCTGCCGCCCACACAAGACGGCGTACTCCTGCGTGTTGGAGATCAACTCTTCGACAAAGCGTCAGTTGTGGTTGTGAGATGGATGCTCTTGTTGAGCTTGGCTGGTTTGCTGCCCACACTCCAGTACCTGTGACCAAGGCTGCGCATGCTCCCCGCGTGCATGGTGGTGTTGTGGCGTGGTTTCACAGCGTGCTAAGGTTCGTTGAGCACCAAGCTAAGCCAGCACTTTTGCCCTGTCATGTTCACACTTGACTCTGCAGATGCGATGCAGCGGCTTCTGTGTTTGGAGAGGAAATTGGAGAAAAGTTCAAGCTCAAGTACTTGAAAACCAGCACCCAGTCGGGGCGAGAAGTGTTTCATCGCCTGGTAAGTGCTTGCCCGCCCGCAAGTCTTGCGACTGCTTGTTTTGTGACACACGAGCCACATGGCCTGCGCTCTCGCAAAACGGGGACAGCTGCCTTGCCTTCCTCTCCGCTGTCTTCACTCTCTTCATGCCGCTACTCTGACTCCTTCCTTCACTGCCACAACAACAACAACAACAACAACAACAACAACAACAACAACAACAACAACAACAACAACAACAACAACAACAGTTTACGCTTGAGGGCCGCAGCTTGCATGACTGGCTTCTCCGCCTGTTTCCGCACACCAGCGCACAGTCGCTCTATCCCAAAACACCAAAGGTATGCGAACACTACTCTCCCCCTGCAGGCACGTGCACATGCGCATGCGCGCACACGTGCGTAGATTTGTCAAAATGAACTACTGGGAGGTTTTGCTCACCTCATCTTCTCTGCCTTCTCACATTGTCGTTGTTGCTCTACACACTCGCTCGCGTGACACAAAACAGGCGTCACGCGCGCGCACGCGAACCCCAAAGGCGGCTGCCCACGGAGCCAACACATCGCAGACACGCACGCAGCAGGACACGGGCCGGAAAGTGCAAGCAGCAAAGATGGGCAAGCGGACACCGCGTCCTAACTGCGATGCTAATGGGCATGAGCAACAACAACAACAACAACAACAACAACACAACAACACAGCAACAAAGGCAACAGCAAGAACAAAGGCAACAGCAAGAGCAGGAGCGTGTTCGTTCGCGCTTGGCAAATACATCACACGTAGCGACAACAGCGCCCTCTGCCACACCGACGAACGGCAATGGCATTGGGATGGCTGCCCGTCTTGTCTAATGGCGTGGCGCACAGTCGCTCTATTCCAAAAACACCAAAGGTATGCGAACACTACTCTCCCCCTGCAGGCACGTGCACATGCGCATGCGCGCACACGTGCGTAGATTTGTCAAAATGAACTACTGGGAGGTTTTGCTCACCTCATCTTCTCTGCCTTCTCACATTGTCGTTGTTGCTCTACACACTCGCTCGCGTGACACAAAACAGGCGTCACGCGCGCGCACGCGAACCCCAAAGGCGGCTGCCCACGGAGCCAACACATCGCAGACACGCACGCAGCAGGACACGGGCCGGAAAGTGCAAGCAGCAAAGATGGGCAAGCGGACACCGCGTCCTAACTGCGATGCTAATGGGCATGAGCAACAACAACAACAACAACAACAACAACAACAACAACAACAGCAACAAAGGCAACAGCAAGAACAAAGGCAACAGCAAGAGCAGGAGCGTGTTCGTTCGCGCTTGGCAAATACATCACACGTAGCGACAACAGCGCCCTCTGCCACACCGACGAACGGCAATGGCATTGGGATGGCTGCCCCAAAACTGGGCCACAAGAGCGTGAACTCGTCTGTACCAGCATCACCATCACCGGCAAGCCCTCGCGTGGGCGGGCTGTATGCAAGCGCCGCCACCCAAGCAGAGGTTGGTGGCTGGCATATGCAGGATGGTGGAGCTGCTATCGTCCTTGGTCGTGTTGGTTCTGACCCAATTGACACTCGTCGAGCACTCACTCACTCACTCACTCACTCACTCACTCACTCACTCACTCACTCACTCACTCACTCACTCACATCCGCACGTTGTCAGAATCACCGGCTGAGGACTGAACTCAACCTGGTGCATGCAGAGCTTGACTTTATCAAGCAGCAGTATCTCACATGCAGGAAAGAGCTCCTCGATGCACAGGCTCTCATCTCCCACCTTCAACACCACAACAACCAGTGACGTGAATGTGACACATCACATGTGGCGTTTTGCTGTGCGCCTCTGTTGCCATTGCCCGTGCCAGCTGCTGTTGCGGCCGCTGGTGTCACATGTTGTTGCTACCACAGCATCCCGCTTGCTCCTGCGCTGTCCGTTGTGTTACCGCCTTCCTTTGACGCGCTGCGCTCGAATCACGTCGAGTGCTGCCAGCGCACTGTGTGCTGTGCCCTGTACAAGCATTCTTCTTACTCGCTCTCCGTTTCTGACGGCACTGGTGTGCTGCTGGTGCATCATTCGTTGTCGGCGTGGTCGCCCTTGCCTGCTTGCTTCTCAGCCACCTGCTGCTCCCTATTGCTGGTTCGCAAGTGTAATTGATCAAATTCATCATCATCATCATCATCATCATCATCATCATCATCATCATCAACGTATCTTCACATCACATCGCAACACATACACATACACGCACATGAAGCGGGAAGCGAGCGAGAGGCGCATGGGAGAACACAGCTCAAGAACAAGGGGCTTTCAACTCAACGCCACGCACTGTAGAGGGCGAAGAACAATGACCATCACGATACACACAGTCCACCACTGGTGGGTGGTGAGCTGAATCCAGTACCCCTTGCCTTCTTGCTGTCAAATCACAACGCCACCTCCCCATGAACTTCCCACCAGTGTCATTCCATTCAACCAAGGCACATGGCGGTGCCACGGCGGCGAGCACACGCATCACTTTGCAAAGTCGCGGCCACCGCGGTTGAGGCTTGACCCTGGGGCGACGTTGAAGGTGAGCAGGTCTGGGCCGGAAACCTTCTTGAACCGCCGCTTCTTCTTGGTCTTCGTGGACTTGGACGGCTGCCACGAGTCATCATCCACCGTCGGCAACACCTGTCCCGCGTCGCCCTCAAACGCCGTCGCGCGCTTCTGCAGGAACGCCTTGGAGAACTTGCGGGCGCGCTCGCCCAGCTGCTCCGTGACAAAGTCAATCACGTCCTCCGGCTGTGGAATCTCAAGCAGCACCTTCACAAGCGTCTCCGCATCCACGTCGCTCGTCAGCGCGCCAATCTCCTTTTTGCACCAGCCCATAAATTCCTTGCGAATCGGCACCTCCTTGGCAGCGTTCTTGCCGCCCTTGCCCTTGCCCTTGCTCTTGCTCGCCTTGACAGGGGTCTTGCTGCTCAGATGCAACACGGGTGGAGGCAAAAACAAACAAACAATCAGGATGAGCACATGGGTGAGAGGGGGCAAGTGGAAAGGGGATGCGAGAGCGTCAACGCACGCCTGTGTGAGATGTCCAGTGTCATACGCACACTTCATGCCACACACACACACACACACACACACACACACACACACACACACACACACACACACACACACACACAGGCTCAAACACTCACCGAGCGGCGATGGCAGATGAAGGCTTGGACACCGTCTTTGCAGACCTGTGACGGTGGTGGTACAAAGTTACAAGGTGTTGTGAGGGTTAGTAAGGCAAAGATGTACACAGCAAGAACGAAATATCCCCACATACACACACACGCACACATAAACACAAGTCACAAGCACATACACACACATACACACAGGAAACGCACGATGACGGGGGTGCGCGGGCGGTGACAGAGCCCCAGAAGGAGTCATCTTCGTCAGCGTGCCGTTGCGCAGGCCTATGCTGCTGGTGCTGGTGCCTCGCCTGGGGTGCGGATGCCTGGTTGCCCTTGGCGCCTGCGGACCACGGCACGGGCGCCTTGGCGGCAACCTTGGCGGTGGCAGTGGCTGCGGGCTTTCGTTGCACAGTACGCGTGCGCTCCTCAGCCTCGATGTCCAGCAACGACCGACCCTGGAGATGTAATGAGACGGCACGTGAGTCATGGAAGAGGATGGCAAGATCCTAGAAACAATACTGAGTCCATGCAAAGGCTACACTCACACACGCATCCGCACGTATCAACACACATGACGAGCGGGTAACAACAAACCTTCTGCACTGGTGGCGGGGCTGGGTCTGCGCCAACAGCCTGAACATGACAAGAAAAGGGTTGAACAACGTCAGCAACAAGCGGCGCCTCCCGCACAACAAGAAAACACAACTCAACAAGACAAGGCGTCACACGGGCGATAAATAAAACATGCACACACACGCATACACACACACACGCGTGCACATACCTGGAGCCACGACTTGCCCTTGGCAGCGGGAGGAACTGCCGCGCTTTGCATGCGCTGCTGCTGCTTCTTCTTGATTTGCTTCTGCCTCTACACATTCGGGGGGGGGGAAGCAAGCAAAGACACCAAAGTGGTACGTGCACGCACACACACACACACACACACACACACACACACACACACACACACACACACACACACAACCAACGCGGTGAGGGTGAGTGACGCTCGCATGGTTCGGTTGTGCCAGGACAACAACGAGGACTACAGCACAACAAAAAGTGGCGCAGCAATGTGGCGCGCACCATTTGTTCCTGACGCTCAATGTCCCTCAGGGTCGGTGCAGCCTTGCTCTGAGAGCCCCACGCAGACGGCTGCGTCCAAGCACCGCTCGTCGCACCGCCGTTGGACGCAGCTGTGGTGGCGGCACCGCGGCTCTTGGCCTGAGTCACCGTCATCATGAGACGCATCTGGTTCTCCTCGATGCGCTTGCGCTCCTCCTCCTGCTCCTTGGCAATGCGCGCCTGCTCGGCCTCAATCTCAGACAGCGACGGCTGGTGTGTGCTCTTCGCCGCCGTGGGAGGCGCTGCTACGGGTGCTGCTGTTGTGGGCGCGGTCGGGTTGCTGGTGTCTGCAGCCGCTGCCGCAGAGCCACTGCGACGCGCGTTGCGGCCCCACGCAGACGGCTTGCCGCTCGCTGACGACGCGGCCGCTGTGGGAGCAGGCGCCGCCTTCTTCGGCTGTGCCTTCTTGTCAGCTTCCTTGGATGCCTGCTGGCTGTCGTCCCACTGCGTCTCGGTGACACCCTCAATGTCCCAGTTGTCGCCGTCGTGGTGCACGGGAACCTCGCCCCACGCACCCTGCGACTGCTTGCCGCTGTCATCCACAAACACGTCGTCGTGGTCGTCGCCGTCTGTGGCTGCAGGCGCGACCTGGTCGTTAAGTGCCAGCGATTCAATGCGCGGCAAGGGTGCCCTGCTGGTGGAAGTGCGACTAGCCCCGCCCTGCTGCTGCGGCAGCGCTTGCTGCTGCTGTTGAGCAGCAGGTTGCTGAACCTGTGTTGGAGCCACCTGATGATGCTGTTGCTGCTGCTGTTGTTGTTGTTGCTGCTGTTGCTGCTGCTGCTGCTGTGCGTGCTTGGCGGCAATCGAATGCTGCAGCGCAAGCAGCTGGGCATGATGCTGCTGCATCTGGATGTCGCTCTCCTGCAGCTGGCGGTAGCGCTGGCCCACCTCCTCCGCGCGGGCAGTCACCGTCTCAAGCACCTGGTGCAGCCGCGCGGCAAGCTCGGGCGGCGCCTGCGCCTGCTGCTGCTGGATCGCCTTGTGCTCGGCCATCAAGCCGCTCATGGTCTCTGCCAGCGCTGCCGCCTCGCTGTGCAGCTGCTTGTGGGCGGTGCGCACAACGCCAATGCGCTGCGTCACTGTCTCCAGCGACCACTGGTTTGCGTCCGCTGGCAGGTCAAAGCTGCCCACAGCAGCAGGCGTCCCTGGACCAGAGCCAACAGAGGCCTGGCGCTGGCGCTGCTGTTGCTGCTGTTGTTGTGCAAGCATGGCTGCACGCTGGTCTTCATGCTGGTAAGCAGGGGCCTGCTGAGGCGACTGCTGGAACTGCTGGGACACCTGACGATGCTGTTGATGCTGCTGCTGGGGCTGAACCGGAGCGGAAGGGGCGTTGGAACCGGCGCGCAAGTGCGCCAGCAGATCGGTGCCGTGCTGAGGGGCGTGGACGGGGCCTTCTGTCGCTTGCGACGTCATCAGCATGGGGTGGGTCGCTGAGGATGCAGCGGAGGCCGGCTGGTGGTGTACCTGCTGCTGCTGCTGATACATGGCCTGCTGGTGCTGGTGTTGTGGGGCATATTGTTGGGGCTGCTGCTGCTGCTGCTGCTGCTGGGCGTATTGGTGTGCGCGGTAGTCCTGGTGCGAAGGGGTGTGCTGCTGGTGGTAGGGAGCGTTCGGATAGGCGCTGGGGGAGGAGGGCGCCTCAACGTGTGAAGATGGTGACCCCATCTGCAACGTTCCGACCGCGCTCTGGCCAGGCATTTCACTCACAGAACCAAAGGACGAGGTGCGCTGCTGCTGCTGCTGCCACACGTTGGGTGGCTGCTGCGCTTGGGAGGACGGGTGCATGCTCTGGGCGTGTGGGGACATGGCGGCACCTTGCTGGTACATACCGTGGGCCTGCTGCTGCTGCTGATGGTGCTGCGGGTGCTGGCGATCCTGTGCGGGTGCAAAGTACTGCTGCGCGCTCGGCACATGCTGCTGCATTGGAGACTGGGGCATCTGCTGCTGCTGGGCTGCTGGCGGTTGGGACACTTGGAGTGGGGCTTCAGAGCGAAGGGGCGTAGATGGAAGGGAATGCTGCTCGGCTTGCACTGGCTGCTGCTGCTGTTGTTGCTGGTGCTGTTGCTGTTGCTGGACGGCCGCTGCAGCGGCTGCGGGGGCGGCGGTGGCGTTGGCGGTCGTATCGGCGGAGGGCTCCGTGCTGCTGGCGGTAGCGGTGGCCATAAAGTCGTCGAAATCGGTGGGCAGGGGCTTGGCAAAGAGGTGGTCAGCTGGGATGTTGCGCTGCTTCAGGTACTCAAACACTTGCTTGAGGGTGACAAAACCAGAGTCCGAGGCACGCTTCACGGGGAGGTCGTCCTTGAAGAAGTTGTTGGAAAGCCAGTGGTGCATGGAGTTGCTCTCAAAGGGGCCTTGGCTGATGCCTTTCTTGTCAATGTAGTTCCATTTGGGCATGGTGGGGGCAGCGGCGGTGTCGGTGTCAAGTCCAGGTGGGGCGGGAGGTTCCTTGGTCGAGTTGTGGCGGCTTCTGATGGTGGATCAAGCCGAAAGCAAGGAGGTGGGTGATGCAGAGGTGGTGTGGCGGTAGCATGGGGGTGTGAGTGACACGAGCGCCAGGCGCAGTTGCCGTACAGATTTCACTGCCAAGACAGATGGGACAGATGCGCTGACGGGCGCTGACGGGCAGAAACATGCACACACTCGCGCACGCACGCACGCACACACACGCACACACACACACACGCACGCACGCACACACACACACACACACGCACACACTCGCGCACGCACGCACGCACACACACGCATAAAAGAACGCACCTGCGGCCACCAGAGAAGGTGAAAGGATCGGCGTCGTTTGGCTCCTCCCAGGCCGTGTCCTGGCGACCTGTGCATTGTGCCGGATGCGGGCGAGCATGAAACACATGGGTTGTGAGCGGAGGCATGCCAGCGTCATCACTGCTGGCAGATCAGCAATCAGAACGTCATCAGCAGCAACGCACCACCATTGCCGCGGGAAGGGGCAGCAGGCTCGTCCGTATCCGAGCGGCGCCAGTTGCGCTGGAAGGCGTGCGCCTGCAACAACACAAAACACATTCACATCGTGTCAGACGAGCCAACAAGGAGCTCAAGGGGAGGAGGGCGGGGGTAGTAGCCAAGCACTGCGTGGGCCCGTGGGTCAACGTCTTCTACACTGGCACGCACCTCCGATATGGGGCGGCGGCCACGGGGAACGCGGGGGCGGTTGCCATACGACTTGGGGCTGCTGGGTGCTCCGCCAAAGTCGACGCGGACGTAGTGGCCTTCGGGAGCATGGCCTCGGCCGCGGTTTGGCAGGCTGAAAACGCGTGGTTTTGTTTTGGGGGGGGAGGGCGAGCGCAGCAAACAAAGGTGAACATGAGATGAGCAAACCATCACATTAACTGTTTCGATTGTGTGTCTGTCTGTCTGTCTGTCTGTCTGTCTGTCTGTCTGTCTGTCTGTCTGTCTGTCTGTCTGTCTGTCTGTCTGTCTGTCTGTTTGTTTGTTTGTGAAGGCAGTTGGTCAGGGCAGCAACGACCGCAAGCATGCGCGGCTGTGTGAACAGAAGCAGCTATACCGGTCGCTGGTGCGGGAGAAGAAGCCACGGCCACCACGGCCAGCGGGGACGCGCGGGTTATGCACATCTGTTGTTGCATGCGACACAACGACAGCAGCAAGTGCCACAAGGGTAAAAGCACACAAACACAGCAAGCACAACACGCGGTCAGGGAATGGGTGCTTGCGGGGAGGGGGGGGGGGTTTCAGGACCAGTGACAACGAAGTAACACAAACATGAACCAACAATCAAAATAAAGGGCATGCGTGCGTGCGTGCGTGCGTGTGAAGCTAGGCCATAACTCACCAGAACGCGCTGGTTCACGACGGGCAGCAGGTGGCGGACCCTCGCGGCGAACCTCCAGCTGAAAACGACAGTGATGAACAGAAACGTGAGCAGTGGTCGTTGAGCTTCCACGCGTGTTGCAGTGCACCCGCGCAACGACACCAAACCCGCCAGCGGTTCCACAATTGAGATGCGCGCACGCGCGCAGGCACACGTACACATGCACAAGCACAGGGCGAGATGGCGTACCTCGGCGTCCGTCCAGTCGGTCAGACCGAGCGGCTTGGAAACCTGCTTGGAGTACAGCTCGCCACAGTCGTCAAGGCCGTCGGGAGCAGGGACAGAAGGGTTGAACAGCTCAAGGATGGTCTTGCGGCTGTAGCGGTAAGGGTTGGGCCGAGCAGCGTCGTGGCGGCTCGTGGACAACGTGTCGCGGCTACACAAACGCCACACAACCACATCACCAGCACACAACACAAGGAACCACGTGGACAACACAAGCAGCAGCAATAATGGTCCAAGCAGGCATGGCGTGAGTGGGGTTGATCTGGGAGAATGCATGAGATGGCGCTTGCTGGTGTTTTTAAAGCTTGTTGCCACTTGTCGCCACTGGACCGCACGCGTTGAGGAATACACGGTGGGCAGTTACATGCAATATGCAAGCGCAGCTAGCTGCGCACGGCCGCCAGTCTTGTGCCACGCCACAATCGAGGCAAGGCAGCAAGCACAATGCAGCCAAAAAACAAGTGAACCGGGGCTGTGTTGAACGTACGCAGAGGAGCGACGGGGCTTTGGGTCTCCAGACTTGTCCATTGTTGGCGGTTGGTTGGCAGCTGGGTGTGATTTCCGATGCAGGGAAACGGAACACGCGCAGGCAAGCAGTCGGCAGAGATCAGCAGCTGATCAGGGAACTTCGTTTTGTTCTGTTTTGCTGATGTGGCTGCTCTCGCTGAGATGCAACAAGAGCAATTGAGCTGTGACAGTGGGGGAGGGTGTATTTCTTTGCTGAGGGCACAGGTCACACGAAGAAGGGCTGGAAGCTGGCTCTCGGTCGGGGTGCTCGGGTGGTGAACTGGCTGGTGAACTGGCTGGTGGGCACGGCAGAAAACAACAAGCAGCAACTGCAGACACACGAGAGAGGAGATGCAGAGAACGCGAAGAAGAAGGCGAAACTGCCTTCGTGTGTGTTTGCTGTGCGAGCGAGGTACGTGGTGTGTGTGCCCTGCGAGTCGACAATCTCTGAAAATCATGCGAACACTTTCGCTCAATCCATCGGGGAAGTTTTACGAATGATTCCAATCAATGTGCGTTCTCAGAGGTTTACTTGAGCGAAGGATCATGAAAGATATTCGTAAATTATCTCCTCACAGCACCCACACCTGTGGAACAAAAGCACGACACGACACGCAAACGTAATTAGAAGAGTGTGTGTGTATGTGCTGTGTGTGTGTGTGTGTGTGTGTGTGTGTGTGTGTGTGTGTGTGTGTGTGTGTGCTGAGTGCTGTGTGCTGTGTCTGTGTGGATCTGTTTCTGTGTTTGGTTTGCCTGGGGACTTGAACGCACGGCGCTCAGAGAGTACTCTCCTACTCACAAACACATGAGACTGGGCGCACCAGCACGCAAAGCCCCTGCCCCCAGACGCCGACGCCTCC